TAAGTGTGATATGAAAAATTATTGTTTGAGGCTAAGTGTGATATGAAAAATTATTGCTTAAATCTAACATGAAAAATTATTGGTTGAGGCTGAGCTAATATGACAAAATATTATTTGAGGATAAGAATGATGTGAAAATATATGCAGAGCACGTTCAAAAATATGCTGAGGACTGTAGCTGTAACAGCCTGTAGGGTTTATATAATTCTTCAATCAAATCATAGCCAAATCAAATAATGATTTAAGAGTTTTGACACCATTTTCTGTCTTCAATCTATTGGCTGTATGTGACAAAGTTTAACTAAAAGGTGTTTCACCAAAAAAAACGCCAATTAGAATTACTACATGTATATACCAGAACACACAGATGTAAATAGTACAATGTGCAACACATACTACTGAATGCTGCTAAATGAGGTTAATTATAGAGTACAAACATTAAATGTGTGCAACACTTTCCACTATTTACTACAAAACAGTGTTAATTAAACCATAGAAAACAATACAATTAGCATAATTTAGCAGTGTTTAGTGGTATTTATGTTGCACAGTTTTAGTGTTTGTACTCTATTGTTCAGTTAGCACTATTTAGCATTTAACTGTACAAAGTGTTGCGCGCATTTAGTGTTCGTAGTYTAGCATTTTGCAAATATCACTAACATTGTTACAATCAATAAATCTTAATGAAAGACAGAAAAATTATGATAAAAAATACAATAAAAACCTTAGAAAGTGAAAACTATACACGATTATAATTATGATATGGTTTCATAACTGAACACGTCTACTGAAGAGTAAAAACCAAAAATAACAGGTTTAAGTGAATTTTTTAACCTGGAATTTTCTAACCAAAATTTTTAATTTTATAAGGACTACTATTAGGTACCAATAAAGCAAAAGCATGAACTTTCCAAATGCATTTTGAGAATATATTGATATAAACAATAGATACAACATGTGCAAAATGCTACAAACAAAATGTTTTTAGCTTTGAAATATGCAAGTAAATAATGACTATACTGTACGATACCTTGAGTTTTTGTTTCAGATTATGTAAAAGTCTTGTGTGACATTGTAACGCAAGACATCAGTCTGTGACAGCAAATTTGTGACAAACTTTTTCATCTTGTGTTTGAAGATCCAAGTGCAAGCACTTCAAAAGTCTCTTGAGTTGTACAATCTTGTTGCATAGAATTTGCACAATATACAAGTGGCTTTTCCATGACATAACATGGTGATGTTCAACATCTTCCCATAATTTTTTGACCAGTGCTTGTTACTTTTGAAGTGTTATACTGTCATATTGTTACAGTTCTCATGGCTCATTAGATTCTAACTTCACTACTTCTTCAATTTCATCCATTATTGCCTTAGTGGTGACGTCTGTATTAGTTGCTACGTTAGATCTGTACAAGGAATCTGTCATCGTACCAACGGATGTTGGATTACTTTCCTCGCCAGTRTTAGTACTTTTAGATGCTCTTGAGATGTTATCTGTTGACACGGCGACAGAGATTCTGCTCACGTCGACGTCTTGGTTGGGATCTTTGACAATGGTTGTGTATTGGACGCCTGGTCTTGGTCCTGCCCCGCCCATTGCTGTAAGAAACGTATTCATGTGTGGGATATTGGATGGCCCATTATTCATTGCTGCAAGCGCATAGTTATTGGCATTCATATCATTAGTAGTATGAGTAGGTGGGGTAGAAACCATGGTCCTTACCATATACTGTTGCGCCTCGGCTCCTCGTTGTGCTCCAACGTACAGATTATAGGTTTGAGAACCAGCTTGTCCTTGGGGAGGTACTGCTGCGTTGGATGCTTCTAAGACCACTGTTTCAGTCTTGGACTTGTCTTGGCTGGTCACTTCAGTTTGCTGAGAATCCCCTGACTGTCGGTCCCTGGCGGACGAAGCTAGAGCAGACAACATTGACGACATTGGCGTACTTGTTGGTGGAACAAAGGTGCTTAAACTAGCAAGCATTTCAGCAGCAGAAGTGTTTCTCTTTCTGCTTCTAGACTTTGCTTTTTTAGCTGGTAAGCTTGCAGCATTTTGGTCTTCTACTGCCTTAGGCTCCTCAACAGGAATTGGCACTTGAATAATCTGATTACCTGCTGCAATTCCTTGCAWTTGTGTGTTTGCTTGATTTGCTAGTGTATACTTTGGATCTGGAATGGATTGAATTTGTCCAGTTGTTGACCCTGTAAATGGTAATTGTGTGACAAAAGTCATTCCTGGTCCAGATGCTTGCACAGGTGTCATGGGMAGCAATGTCTGGAAATTATGCAAAACTTGGCCTTCTCTTGGCAATGGTGACTGGCTGGGAAATGGTTGTTGGACAACCTGTGCATTGCCTGTGGTGCTGGTGACGGGAATTCCAGACAAGAAACCACCCTGGGCTGTCTGAATGCCAGTCATAGGAATAGTAGCAATAGTTGCAATGTTTTGATTAACAGCATTGGCTTGTGTACCAGTTACTGGCACATGAACGCCAGGAAAAATGGCACCTTGCAAATTTGCAACTTGCATGCCTGGCATAGCAACACCAGGGAAAAAAGTTCCTGCAGGCATAGCTGGTAGAATAGTCCCTTGGGGGCCAATAACAGGAATAGCTCCTTGCGAAGTTGGAACTTGATTATATGTTGCGGGCACAGTAACAACATTTGGAGTTCCTTGATTTGTAGCATTTTGAAGCTGGTTAACCATCGTTTGAATTGGAGCTGAAATTCCAACAACATTTGTTGGAGTTTTGTCGTCAACTACAATCCCAGAGGCGGTCATCAGTTCGGAAACACTTCCCTTTGAAGACTCCCCGCTTGTTGAAGTTTCGGAAGCCGTCCTTCCTTGAGATATATTTCTCAATCCTTGTATCACGGCTTCGCTTGCACCGCGCCCTTGCGAGGAGTTTGATCCTAACCGTTTGCGAACTCCTAGTCTTTCACGCCTTCGACGCTGCCTTTCGCGATTACCACGGCGGATTATCTCGAGTTGTTCAGATGTCATGACTTCCTTTCTCCTTCGTCTCCATTCGCGATACCTCGCTCGAAGCGCTTCAACTTGGTCGGGAGTCATTCTTTCTTTTTGTTTTCTTTTGAGTTCACGTTGTTTTTCGCGTCGAACTGTGATTTCTTCCTCGGAATTTGTACTAGAACGCTTTCGTCGTGGAATCCTTGCCTCCTCGTCTTCCCGCCTAGCCGTCCTTGATCTTGTGGCTCGCTTGGCTTCTCCGATGTCTTCGCTCTGCATGCCTTGTTCCTCAACATTTTCGGCTCCGTTTAAAACGTTAGGATTTTCACCAAATACTTCGATTTCACTAGCAACTACGAGCACTGAGAGTTGATCGGTCGCTTCAGAGAGCTCGTTTACGTTACTTGTAGTTGGTACAGCGCCGTGACACTGATCGGTAATGGCGTTGTTTGCTGATTCACTAGTAGCCGGGTTTGGATCTTCCACGCTCGAGACAGTGTCGCCATAAGCTCTTTTTCTCCTTGAAGAACGTCCTCTAGTGGTTCTTATGCCAACCAGTCCGCTTTCTGGATTCTCTAGCTCGACTTTGACAGTAGAATCAGTCCTGTCAGACACAGTGTTGGCGTTTTCAAGCGACTCGAGGTTGTCTAAGTTCATGTTAACGTTACAAGCTTCGGACGCCATAGCCGTCTCGTCATGGCGTGACATTTTCAGTTTCATTCGCCTTCTTCGCTGTCTTTCTCGATTGAGACGACGGATTCTTTCAGTTCTACTTTCCAGGGAACTTCCCTCGACCTCCTCGGACGTAGATAACTCGACTGGCACCTCGATAATTCCAGAGTCGTCAGTAGATTTGCTATTCATTTTTGAAATGCGGTATCACATATCACAGGCAAAGAATAAACACTTGCAAAGCGACGACCAAGTCTACGTCACGCGATTGAATTCAACCTTTTTCAACTCAAATTAAACCCACAAGAAACACCAACAATGTCTTGAAAATACAATTAAAAGCTTGGTGCATCAGTAGAGAAGGTTTTAGAGCTAAAAATATCGGTTAAATATGCGTTTTTGGGCAGCCAGTTCGCCATATTTGAAGGTCAGTCAATCAATCTGGCTCGAAAAGCTCGACCTAAGTCCAAGCCTCGTTATGGTGTAAGTTGGCGCGCAGAATCGCTGTCACTTTAACGTATTTTTATTAAAAAATCTAAAAAATCGCCTAAAATTAATCTTTAGTAATAACCAGAAAAAAATAATAAATTTCCAATCCCTATAGATTTTGAATTAACTGACTGTAAATTATTAATCAACGCGAGAAAGATGCAAACCCTTGTGTTCCCCCTTTTATAATACCGAAAACGCCTTTGATGAAAATCATTCTTTCTTTTCAGTTCTTCTTAAAATTACCTCTCATTTTGTCTCTTTAAAAATGCTCTTCAAGTTCAATTTTTCTACTAGTAATATTTTTATTTATTTTTTTCTTCTTCTTGCTAATTGTCAATGGATATTTTGGCGGTAATTTTAAGTAACCTTCCACTATGGCTGCTTTCCAATATTGTAACAACAGCCTCAAGGCGGTAAATGTCAGCAGTGCAAAGAGCAATACCTTCTGTGACATACTACACCACGTTTTGGCGTGAGTCACGCCCTACTCTGATAGGATGTCACACCTCAACTACACAGGAATCCCAACTATGCAGGTTCTCACTTGCACTAAAAATCTAATCGCCAAACTMATCTAATTCCATTTACTTCTAGTTAAGAAGTATTTAATTCGAATCTTAAAACAATATATCGACTAAATRATAAATCTTTTTATTAAATTGAGTGTTTCATATCAGGATAAAAAGAATACTAGTATATAAATTATTCTCCTTACCYCTCTCCCCCCAATCAAGTATTTACAATAACTGCTGGGGAGGCCCAGCTCGATCGTTTGGCTCAGTTCAGCTGATCCGGCCAAACATTTCCGGATTTGTGCCGTGAGTAAGTCTRACAAGTCTCATTTTCAACGAATCGGTGTGTAATCAATTAGATATAGCATATTTTTGTCTTTGTTTGTTGATTTTTCAAGCATTCTAGACAGTCGGCACATTTTGGGTCGACTATTGGCGCTCAATTATTGATACGTTTGCTGATATTTGTAATACACTGATATTTTAGGGTGAAACTGATATGACCTCATATTTGTCATTTTGGCTCTATTAGTGGGATGGTCAGTAATCAATGGGAATAATCTGTTAAAAATACTAAGAAATGAAGAATGAGAATAAAAGCACGAATAGAAAAGAAAAACATCGCGAAGAAAAGAGAGAAAGAAGAAACACTTGAAATGGGAAAAAGCGAAAACAAACACAGATTAAACGGGACAGAAAGGAAGAAAGAAAGAAATGAAAAGAGAAAAACATGCATAATGTCAGAGTCATCATTTTGAATGGAAAAAATATGACTACAAAATCCACTCTTCTATAATCAAGAAAGGAAGCAGAATTCAGCGAATTCCGTCGGATATGAGAACCAGACTTGCGAGTGTRCCGGATATACCTGGATACCTGGAGCACACACCAAGGCCAACGTCCTACTGTGTTTCCCGAATCAACTATTAAAACGAAAYAAATTCACAAAAGAAGAAATTAAACTATTAGAAACTGTCTAGACATGAAAATTTAATTAAAGAGCATTCTAAAATTGGTTTCGAATACCCGTAAAGTTGTATGTTACTTATGTTTCGCCCAGCAACCAACATTTAGAATGATGGGTTTCCTGTGGTATGAAAAACATYGCGCATGCGTTGTTCGTTCTCTTTCGCGGTTGCCATCTTTGGATTGCAAAGTAAGTGAAGTTCGAGGAAGAATCTTTCAAAAATCTCGGCCATCTTAWGAAATATTAGAGCTGTGGCAATGAAATAGTGAAGATTATATATCAAATAAAGTATTTCCCAAGGAATTTTCAACTTAAAATAATATATACTCTGTATTTTTGACGTGGAATGTGAACATCTCGATTTTGACTGTGTTCGACATCTGCAATTTCCGAGAGGTTTATKTTGAGAATATATATTATAAATAATTGTATAGCAGGTTTATTATTTTAAAATAAGTTCTTGGAAAGTCAGAGTGGAAAACAACAGTAATCACATCAAAGTATCTCTTATTATTATTTAAATACTCGAATTCTGGCAAAAGTATAAAGGTGGTGAAAAATAGAATCTTTAATATTGGATGAAAGAGTATTTCATTTTTTATATCTCTGTTGGACTCATTATCCAGATAACTATGAATTTAAAAGCAAGGAGAAAAACGTTTCAAAAAACTACCAAACTCCGAAATGTTCCTATATTTCTCTATAAGTAAACACATGACTAGATTTGGATAATAGATGGCCTTTGAATACATGATRTGCAATCGTTTTTTTTCTTACTTGATCACCTTAATTAATGCTTCCATGCTTTYGTTTTGTAGTATGCTGATCCCTAAGAAGAACCGAATTGCCATCTATGAATACCTCTTTAAAGAGGGTGTCTGTGTAGCTAAGAAGGATCGCAACAATCCCAAGCATAAAGATATTGAGAATGTACCAAACCTCCATGTCACTGAATCCATGAAGGTATAAAACAGAAATTATTAATAATATCATCCTTGGGAACCCAGTTGTAGTCTTCTGTCGTTCGTTCCTCACTCCCAGAAAAAATACCCCTGGGCACAAAGTCTGTTAGACCTTGTTCTCAATTCAAAATTCAAAATGGTTGGTCGAGTGATTTACCCAAACATGATTGGTTGATTAATTTACTGGCTGCCATTTTGAGTGAGGAAGGAAGGACRGAATATTATGTCACAGCTGCCATCTTGGAGGAAGTTCAACAAAGGATTTCTCATTAGTATCTATTGTTCAGTCCTCCAACATGGCYGCCRGTCTTTTATAATTTGAATCTCATAAGAATGGTTGAAAATAATCAATTCTGTAATCTATAAGGAGCAGATTTGTCTAATTCGCTGGCAAATCTATGAATGGCACTCCATGAAGGCTAAATGCAATAATTGGAAGGAAGACTCAAAGTTGAAGTAATGACTGCTTGCGTTTTACTGGCTTGCTCRATTGCCACAGATTGCTTGCCAGTGAATTGCAGACGCAGTGTGCCGCCTGCTCAATWGTTGCTTCCAAATAGATTTCCAGCATGAGTTGATGATGGCTTGCAAAATGGTTACACAAATCTGTGACAGTTTTCTTTGGTAGCAACCTGAATAAACACTGTTCTGAATTGGTTATTTGCATTTATTTTTAGTCTCTCAAATCACGAGGGTATGTCACAGAGCAATTCTCATGGAAGTACTACTACTGGTATCTTACGAATGAAGGTGAATAGAAATTAATCCAATTATTTAACGTACATAAGCTAACAACCAAAATAAGGCAGCTCAACCATTCTTGTACATGTACATGTGTCTGTTTGATTAGGATTTAACTACTTGGTGGTTCTTTATATAACAAAGCCTCAGGCCAAAAAACTACAATAACATTGTTTAGAATTTCTTTGTACGCAGGCATAATTTCTAAAAATAAATGAGTCCTCTGCGTTTACTAGTGATTTTTTTTATATTTATTAGGCCGAAAGCTCGGTATTAAAAATATCACTATATTTTTTATATTTATTAGGCTGAAAGCTCGGTATTAAAAATATCACTATATTTTTTATATTTATTAGGCTGAAAGCTCGGTATTAAAAATATCACTAGTAAACACAGAGGACTCATTTATTTTTACATTAACATTGTTTTCTATTTTAGGTATTACATATTTGAGAGATTATCTTCATTTGCCTCCTGAAATTGTTCCTTCAACTCTTCGACGACAGACAACAAGAGCAGAAACTGCTAGGCCCAGACCCAAAGGTACCGTAATCCTAGATAGATAGTTTGGATAGATAGTTTATTTACAAAAACATTTTTACAAGGCAGTCGAGGACTGAAATGCGTAAAAATTTACATGAATTGGAATCTACTATAACATTAAAAATTGGACATGGCGGGGGAAAAATATATTTAAAACGATTTGTTCGGGCTTTGTATGCTTTGAAATGACCTGGTATAGTTTGCCAACTGCAAAGTCCAACCATCAAACATTGGTGGAAAACCCAAACCTTTTTAGTCCAAGTTTTTTTTATTATTTGTTTACTTTATTATGATGATGTTCAGGTATGGACTCTGGACCTCGTGGCCCTGACTCCTCTGAYCGTGATACATACAGAAGAGGACCCCCAGGGGGAGACCCCAAGGGAGGTGCTGGTACTGATTTCAAGCCCGAATTTGTAAGTAGTTTTGTGAACATTAGTAAGAATATCTCATAGTGCTTGAAATATCTCTATTTTTATTTTAAAAATGTTGTTTTTATTTTTTCAGAGAGGAGGATATGGTCGTGGACGTCCAGGAGGAGGATTTGGTGCCCCACCACCTCAATAAATAACCCAATAAATGCAGATTATTGCTTAGAATTGTGTGGCTTTTTTGATAGCATGTATTGCTGGCTCTTATTSTCCTAGAGTGGTTTTCATTAACCTGTGAAACACACTTTAGCGTATTTATCGCTATTACATTTTGCTGTTTTGTTTTTTATTGTCTCTACGCGACGATTATGATCTATTACACTCTAATTATTACACTTTGTTTCACGGGTTTATGAAAACCACTCTATTGCTTTCTCTGTCCATCCCTCAAAACTAGACAACAGTTGAGTTTGTAACAGTATGAYGAACATTTTCATACCTAAGACTTRTTCACAGGTATCTCTATTTGCACACKCAAAAGTCATCTTGTTTTGATCCAAAGGCATGGCTAGCTTTCAACATGGCACAAGTAACTGTGAAGGAGACTTTGTCATGTGAATCCACAGTAAACGTCTTGCTTTTTCTTGCTTGGAGCCCCAGTGGAAGGAGAAATTTCTTCAAMCCCAAAAATCAAAAAGGACAAACATATGCAGTAGCAAAAAAGCGTTTATTTGCATTACAAGAAGTTTTCCTAAGTTTTGTAATGTGTATCTCACTAGACTTATATATTATAATATTCTGAACTATTTCAATTAGCAATTATAATATTGCAAGATACTTGAATACAAACCTAACTACATGTACTTTATAATTATTTTAGATTTTCAATACTGGAAATTAAGACAAAATTCTTTATTATTATTAGAGCCATTATACCAAGTTTGCTTATCTGAGAAGTTAGAAGACCAAGAAAGTAGTATGGCATATTTTGGCTGTTTTTCTTTTATTGGAAGCCAAGAACATTAACTTCCATTCTAAATAGTGAGATTGCAAATGCTAAAAGCTAAGAAAAATTACACTGAATGTTGTGAAATCCTTTCTTTTATATTGTCTTTTTTTCTCTATTGTCTTTCTTTTCTATTGTCACAATTTGGTTAGTACTTGTTTGTGCTTTTGCATTCTATCTGAATTTGTACAKTTGAAGAGCACTGTTTGAAARTCAATTTGAAAAACCTTTACTAGGGGGAGGGGTAAATTCAAGGATTGCCGTGTTTTTTCKCATTGTTTCATRGTTCTTATTCAAAGGTAAGTCTGCTCAAATTCTTCTTAAAATGAACAGAGATGACGTGTCGTCCACCATGACAAAAGTCTTGAAGTCATCTGAATAGCATATGTCTTTTGCAAAACCACCTTTGATGAAGAAAACTTGTTTGAGGACGCATTCACTGCTCCACCACTGTYGAAGTAAAAGASGAKAYCMAATAAATAAATAATATTATTAATWAAGAGGAATTTTAGAAGTTAAGTAACTTGAAACTGTGTATAGATGGACAAGAGAAATGGATGAATGAATAAGAAGAAATAACAAATGCTACTGATTTCCAATACATATTATTAATAGATAATGGCATAGTTGGAGGTTAAAGAAATGAGATGGATGAGAAAATCCATGGATGAATGGGAACAGGATGGAAGAAAAAAATAAGAAATGATTGCATGATGGAACAAATGAATTAAAGAGAGAGAGAGTGAAAATAAATAATTGAATAAATGAATGGCTTATGGGAATAAAAAATTAACTTGAAAAGTAAAACAAGAACATAAAGACATAAGAATGAACAAATGGATGGGGAACTAAATAAAAATTTGCTGCATGAGCAAACAAATTAATAAAAGATCAAATGAAAGGAAAGACTAAGAAGTAAATGAATGAATGAATGAATGGATGGGTATGATCGAGAATCAAGATCAATCAACATTATGGACAGACAGACAGATCAATGTGTAGAAAGGATGTCTACTTACATGAACATTATCACTAACTGAGACTATAGTCTTTCCATCGGCAGAAAAGTGACAGTCTGTGATCCATCCATTCTGCTTTGGTGTTTCAGACAAAGCTACTCCACTATGGATATCCCAAACCTTCAAAAACAACAAAAATGTCCCAATACATTCTACATGTATAGTCAGGGTTTGTGCAACGTTTGTACTACAAAATTCCAGGGCTTTTCAAGTACTTTTTAAGCTCAAAAATACAATTTTCAAGGACTGATTTTTGAAGATATTTTTTTGATTTTTGCAAACGTTTCCAGAAGCGATTTTCAAAATTAGCCACATTTCAATCAATCCAAACGGCAAAAAGCAACATGTTATTTTAATCTGATTCAAGGAGTTTTCCATGAGTTTTAGTGATTTTTCCCATTTCTTCAAGCACCCTTTAAAAAGAGTTTTCAATTCCAGGACTTTTCAAGGAGTAGCGTGAACCCTGATAGTAAATCACAACATCTATCACCCTTGGGCTACCTGTGAGATACCAATACTCACCCTTACACTACCATCATCACATCCTGTGCACAAATAATTGCTGTCCCTCGAGATTGACACAGACCTAACGACATCGTTATGTGGACCAAGAGAGTGAAGTAGATCTCCATTAGAAGCGTCCCACACCTGTTAAAATATGACAAACGTTGTTAATCAACAACCGAAGTCCTTTCAGTAAAAAACACATATAAAGCATCTAAAATAGACATCTTCAATTACTGACTGACAAAGGATTTTAAAACGTTTGAAACATCAGTAAGTTGTTTCACCTACTTTTTTATGGTGTTAAATTTTATCTTTTTACACAACTGTTTCTTTAGAAACACTGACACAGCTCACTATAGTTTACAGCTAGTTTCCACCATCTTCAATAAGTACCTTTGCAAAGCAATCCACCGATGCAGACACAAGTTTTGTACAGTCAGCGGACACATCACATGTCAACAAATAATCCTTGCTGCTATGACAACACGTGTAGTCAAGTGTGCCTGTCTGTGCTTCCCAGACCTTTAAGGTACCATCTAGCGATGCTGTCACTACCTTGCGATCCTCATCAAAGAATCTACAGTGCTTTATCTTGTCTGTGTGGCCATCAAGTGAAAAAATAAACCCATAACTGGGCTTTAGGGAGAACATCTGCAAAAAAAAAAAAAAATGATTAGAAACATTATAACCCTTTTTCAAAATGGAGTCCACTTTTTTTCTTTTAAAATATATAGTTTGAATGCAGATTATAAAACTTTTTAAGTTTAATGAATACAGTAGCAGCTCACTATATTTTTTATATTTATTAGGCCGAAAGCTGGGTATTAAAAATATCACTAGTAAACACAGAGGACTCATTTATTTTTACATTAACATTGTTTTCTATTTTAGGTATTACATATTTGAGAGATTATCTTCATTTGCCTCCTGAAATTGTTCCTTCAACTCTTCGACGACAGACAACAAGAGCAGAAACTGCTAGGCCCAGACCCAAAGGTACCGTAATCCTAGATAGATAGTTTGGATAGATAGTTTATTTACAAAAACATTTTTACAAGGCAGTCGAGGACTGAAATGCGTAAAAATTTACATGAATTGGAATCTACTATAACATTAAAAATTGGACATGGCGGGGGAAAAACTATATTTAAAACGATTTGTTCGGGCTTTGTATGCTTTGAAATGACCTGGTATAGTTTGCCAACTGCAAAGTCCAACCATCAAACATTGGTGAAAAACCCAAACCTTTTTGGTTCAAGTTTTTTTTTATTATTTGTTTACTTTATTATGATGATGTTCAGGTATGGACTCTGGACCTCGTGGCCCTGACTCCTCTGACCGTGATACATACAGAAGAGGACCCCCAGGGGGAGACCCCAAGGGAGGTGCTGGTACTGATTTCAAGCCTGAATTTGTAAGTAGTTTTGTGAACATTAGTAAGAATATCTCATAGTGCTTGAAATATCTCTATTTTTATTTTAAAAATGTTGTTTTTATTTTTTCAGAGAGGAGGATATGGTCGTGGACGTCCAGGAGGAGGATTTGGTGCCCCACCACCTCAATAAATAACCCAATAAATGCAGATTATTGCTTAGAATTGTGTGGCTTTTTTGATAGCATGTATTGCTGGCTCTTATTGTCCTAGAGTGGTTTTCATTAACCTGTGAAACACACTTTAGCGTATTTATCGCTATTACATTTTGCTGTTTTGTTTTTTATTGTCTCTACGCGACGATTATGATCTATTACACTCTAATTATTACACTTTGTTTCACGGGTTTATGAAAACCACTCTATTGCTTTCTCTGTCCATCCCTCAAAACTAGACAACAGTTGAGTTTGTAACAGTATGAYGAACATTTTCATACCTAAGACTTRTTCACAGGTATCTCTATTTGCACACKCAAAAGTCATCTTGTTTTGATCCAAAGGCATGGCTAGCTTTCAACATGGCACAAGTAACTGTGAAGGAGACTTTGTCATGTGAATCCACAGTAAACGTCTTGCTTTTTCTTGCTTGGAGCCCCAGTGGAAGGAGAAATTTCTTCAAMCCCAAAAATCAAAAAGGACAAACATATGCAGTAGCAAAAAAGCGTTTATTTGCATTACAAGAAGTTTTCCTAAGTTTTGTAATGTGTATCTCACTAGACTTATATATTATAATATTCTGAACTATTTCAATTAGCAATTATAATATTGCAAGATACTTGAATACAAACCTAACTACATGTACTTTATAATTATTTTAGATTTTCAATACTGGAAATTAAGACAAAATTCTTTATTATTATTAGAGCCATTATACCAAGTTTGCTTATCTGAGAAGTTAGAAGACCAAGAAAGTAGTATGGCATATTTTGGCTGTTTTTCTTTTATTGGAAGCCAAGAACATTAACTTCCATTCTAAATAGTGAGATTGCAAATGCTAAAAGCTAAGAAAAATTACACTGAATGTTGTGAAATCCTTTCTTTTATATTGTCTTTTTTTCTCTATTGTCTTTCTTTTCTATTGTCACAATTTGGTTAGTACTTGTTTGTGCTTTTGCATTCTATCTGAATTTGTACAKTTGAAGAGCACTGTTTGAAARTCAATTTGAAAAACCTTTACTAGGGGGAGGGGTAAATTCAAGGATTGCCGTGTTTTTTCKCATTGTTTCATRGTTCTTATTCAAAGGTAAGTCTGCTCAAATTCTTCTTAAAATGAACAGAGATGACGTGTCGTCCACCATGACAAAAGTCTTGAAGTCATCTGAATAGCATATGTCTTTTGCAAAACCACCTTTGATGAAGAAAACTTGTTTGAGGACGCATTCACTGCTCCACCACTGTYGAAGTAAAAGASGAKAYCMAATAAATAAATAATATTATTAATWAAGAGGAATTTTAGAAGTTAAGTAACTTGAAACTGTGTATAGATGGACAAGAGAAATGGATGAATGAATAGGAAGAAATAACAAATGCTACTGATTTCCAATACATATTATTAATAGATAATGGCATAGTTGGAGGTTAAAGAAATGAGATGGATGAGAAAATCCATGGATGAATGGGAACAGGATGGAAGAAAAAAATAAGAAATGATTGCATGATGGAACAAATGAATTAAAGAGAGAGAGAGTGAAAATAAATAATTGAATAAATGAATGGCTTATGGGAATAAAAAATTAACTTGAAAAGTAAAACAAGAACATAAAGACATAAGAATGAACAAATGGATGGGGAACTAAATAAAAATTTGCTGCATGAGCAAACAAATTAATAAAAGATCAAATGAAAGGAAAGACTAAGAAGTAAATGAATGAATGAATGAATGGATGGGTATGATCGAGAATCAAGATCAATCAACATTATGGACAGACAGACAGATCAATGTCTAGAAAGGGTGTCTACTTACATGAACATTATCACTAACTGAGACTATAGTCTTTCCATCTGTAGAAAAGTGACAGTCTGTGATCCATCCATTCTGCTTTGGTGTTTCAGACAAAGCTACTCCACTATGGATATCCCAAACCTTCAACAACAACAAAAATGTCCCAATACATTCTACATGTATAGTCAGGGTTTGTGCAACATTTTTACTACAAAATTCCAGGGCTTTTCAAGTACTTTTTAAGCTCAAAAATACAATTTTCAAGGACTGATTTTTGAAGATATTTTTTTGATTTTTGCAAACGTTTCCAGAAGCGATTTTCAAAATTAGCCACATTTCAATCAATCCAAACGGCAAAAAGCAACATGTTATTTTAATCTGATTCAAGGAGTTTTCCATGAGTTTTAGCGAATTTTCAATTCCAGGACTTTTCAAGGAGTAGCGTGAACCCTAGACTTTTCAAGGAGTAGCGTGAACCCTAGACTTTTCAAGGAGTAGCGTGAACTCTGATAGTAAATCACAACATCTATCACCCTTGGGCTACCTGTGAGATATCAATACTCACCCTTACACTACCATCATCACATCCTGTGCACAAATAATTGCTGTCCCTCGAGATTGACACAGACCTAACGACATCGTTATGTGGACCAAGAGAGTGAAGTAGATCTCCATTAGAAGCGTCCCACACCTGTTAAAATATGACAAACGTTGTTAATCAACAACTGAAGTCCTTTCAGTAAAAAAGCACTTAGTGAAAAGCATCTAAAATGGACATCTTCAATTACTGACTGACAAAGGATTTTAAAACGTTTGAAACATCAGTAAGTTGTTTCACCTACTTTTTTATGGTGTTAAATTTTATCTTTTTACACAACTGTTTCTTTAGAAACACTGACACAGCTCACTATAGTTTACAGCTAGTTTCCACCATCTTCAATAAGTACCTTTGCAAAGCAATCCACCGATGCAGACACAAGTTTTGTACAGTCAGCGGACACATCACATGTCAACAAATAATCCTTGCTGCTATGACAACACGTGTAGTCAAGTGTGCCTGTCTGTGCTTCCCAGACCTTTAAGGTACCATCTAGCGATGCTGTCACTACCTTGCGATCCTCATCAAAGAATCTACAGTGCTTTATCTTGTCTGTGTGGCCATCAAGTGAAAAAATAAACCCATAACTGGGCTTTAGGGAGAACATCTGCAAAAAAAAAAAAAAATGATTAGAAACATTATAACCCTTTTTCAAAATGGAGTCCACTTTTTTTCTTTTAAAATATATAGTTTGAATGCAGATTATAAAACTTTTTAAGTTTAATGAATACAGTAGCAGCTCACCCTGTTTTTTATMCCGTTACCTGCAACTTACTTTGATGAAAATCATGATTATGAACTTATAATAAAAAAAATAGTCATACTCGTACCTTACAACTGAAATCATCTGAAGCTGATATCAACTCTTTACCATTACTTCTGAATGYCAGTCGTCGYACTCGTTTGTCATGGTTGTGGAAAGAATGGAGAACCTTRCATGATGTGTCAAATATCTACAAGAAATAAACAAAGCAGAGATATCAGATTTAAGTCTTGAGTTGGTCAATACATTTTTGAATGAGCTAATTTTACATGTAA